ATAGATCTGCTTGGTTTTCGCCTGTGCAACCGACCAATCCGACCCAGTCTAAAGACCAGATCCTTGCGGCCATCCGCGGCATCCAAAGCGGCACTTGAAGGCCCAAAGGCTCTGTGGTTTCACTGGGGTCCCTCAAAACCGCCGTTAAAAAAACCGGGCGATCCGTCCGAATCCGTCCGGAGGATCACACGCAACCGAAAGAGTCATGTGGGATTGAAGCAATCCCAACATATCCCAACTATGTGATTCAATGGAGAACAAATTCGCGTGGGGTGTCAGGTGGAAGGTGCTTAGGCTTCAGTTTGTGCTTAAGCCATACGATTGCTCGCCCGAAACCGGAATGGTTCAGTCGGTTCGACTGGTTCAGATCAGCATGTGCATGGTCCGTTGCGTGGAAACAATGCGCACCGACCATCCGCGTTGTTGTATTTTTTTGTGCCAGGAGCGATGGGTTTGTTCGGACAGGCAAATCCTTGATTGGACCTTAGAGGCCCCAGAACTCCCATCCTTCGAATCCGTGTCTTTAGTTCCCAGAACTTCGACTCATTTTGCCCCACCTGGATCTGGGAGTCCAAATCCACCCAACAAATTCAGGGTCCATCCCACAACCCACAAGGGGTGGTTTAATGGACGCTCCTTAACCTCTTAAGGGGTTATCAATTAAAAAAACAACAACAACAAACAGGAGGTCCTGGTCTATATAGTCCCTAAGTAGCTGGACCGTCTCGACTCCACCGGAGACCTGCAAAAGTGGTCGATGCACGATTCTCAGCGTCGCCAAAGACCACACCACCTGAGTCGGCGGTCGAACACGTCCGTCTCGACCGTCTCCCCGGCGCGTGGGGAACACCGAACACCGGACGAGAGGGGACGTCTGCGACGCGATGGTGGTGTTGTGGAAAAGGCCCAGGAGAAGGGGTGCCAAGTACGTGAGTGTCGCAATGCCTACGAATGTCTGAAAGGCCTCTCATTGATGTTCGAAATGTCACTTGGGTATGCTTCGGTGGTTCCGGTTCCACTCCATATAAAGCAAGCTTTTCTTGTTTCGTGGGGTGTCCCCAATGCCGGTTTTGCCGGCGATCCACACACATCCTGGGAGGCGTTGAGGCAGGCTGTGAACGGAGCTTTCATTCGATGGTATGCAAGCCACGAAGCCACGGTGCTTTGTCCCGAAAAAAAGACGATGGGTGTGGGACAGTGTGGGAGGGTGTAGGTCCATTCACAGGTCCTTAGAAACCTCCAAACGGTCCGAAGCCATGGGTAGTCGCCGATCCACCAACAAATAGTAAAAGGACACCACCAACCTGTCAGGATGGTTATTGGATGTTATTGGACGGTACAGTACCATCGTATGGTATCTATATAAACCAAGGGTGGTGTTGAGGTCTACCATATTCCGTTTCCAATTATCTTAACCTGGTTCTTTGACCCCTCAAACCGTCTTCCCATCTGCACGTGTGGATGATGGTCCCTTTTGGTGCGCCTTCCGTTCGCTGAGTCTCCTCACGTTGCTCACCGACTGCGGCTGCACTTCTGTGGCTTCGACAACATTTAACCTGGTGCTTTCGGTGCTGAGACGTGAGACGAAAGGAACTGACGAGAACATGGAGAAGTGATATTCAGTGACTGCAGAGTTGAAGTTGATATTCTGCAATGCCATGTGTAGACTCTGTATTAAAATACTCCATTTCTTGGGCAAACACAGCCCCCATGTGGCGCATGTGCTGCGTTTGTGTGGGTTGAAGTCCATCTTCGCTGGGAGCTCTCCCCTCCATAGGAGGGATCAAGTCAACATTATCTCTTATTTTTGGGGTACGGGCGGGTAGTCAAAGTATGTCAAACATTGGTATTATTAGTTAGATTAGTCCTATATACTTTTTCTTTGGGGAGTAGCCAAAAACTGAGTCTCGCAAGGTGCCCTCTATCTCCAAAGCGTTTCTTTCTGTGCTTTGTATGTGAGAGACCGGCCGCTTGCCCACCGTCTGTCTATCCACCGGTTGAAGGAATGAACATGAGAAAAACCTACTGCATTGAGACTTATCCGTTTCTTCTTTTGTGTGCGTGTTTTTACTTCTCTTTATCTGAACTCATGATCCTGAAGAGCCGGCCTCACCATGGACCCTGTTGGTGGGGAAGCGGAGGCCTTCTAACCTGCTGACCTGCTGACCTACTTTTCAGGGCCAACACCACTTGGTCTTCACCACCGCACTATGGATCGGGTGCTTGGATAAGCTTTCGAACATCCCATCGTCGCCTCACACATCTGACCTGCTGCACCAGGGTATGTGTCATAGATGTTCTATCATGCCGTTGGGCAGGCCGTCTCAGACGTATTCCATCTTGGGAGTTTTGGTGAGGTCTTGCATTTGCGGCCATGTGCTATGGCTATGGCAGGTCTGGCCCATTAGACATCCATTAGACTATAGCTTTACTGTAATTATCAAAGATCAGCATTGGTCACGAGACCCTCGCAGGACTCTTGCAGGGCGCCCCAGACGCAGTGCAAACGCTGTTCAACAACGTCTCCAGGCTCGAGCTCTGCCGTAGCTGACCCTGCGGAGGTGACCAATTCACCGAGAAAAAGGAACTGGGTGGATATTGATATTTATCTATCTGCACCTTCCTTTCGATACCTCCAAATCGACCACCTTAACACTACCATTAAGTCCATTGAGCACCCCCTCTGATGATTTTTTGTTGTTACTGCTGGATGATCTCGGACTTCCAAATGTGTTTCGTCAAACAAACATCCGAGCCATCCGCTAAAAGCAAGGGCCTCTTCTCAAAGAGGCTCTACCCAAATCAATCGAAACAGTGACCTTGTGAGGATGTTTCGTTGACCAAAGGATCGATTTCCTCCACATTCCAAGGCATGTCCGAACGCTGCAACTGGAAGTCGATGGCATGGCCAAGCATGGCCAAGCATGGCCTCTGGAAATACCATGTTCCAATACAACGCAGGTATGGGGCCATGTTGAGTGGAGTATGTCCATGGAAGTGGCCATACATGGGGTAAACTCCACGTAACCATGTGAGTTCCAGGGAGGTTACTTTGCTCCAAAGACCCAAGCCAGCAGTTCATCCCAATCTCTTGCCAAACAAAGGGATGTGTCCAACAAGACCGAACCATTGAAGTCACATGGAGTCTGGCAAACCAGGTCCAGGTACCTCTTGAGGATGGTATTGGAGCTGATAGTACTTTCAGAGAATGGTCGAACTGGGGTCAAAGGACATCCTCAAGATGGTCCCGCACCCTTTAGGGACATCAGGCAACCCCATGAGATAGATATGAATCTACTGGGTGGTCTGTTTTCTCCACCCAAACTGTGTTTGCCAATGTCGACACACCTTGGGAACGGGGATTTTTTCCACGAGTTCCAACAGCACCATCCAGTTCGGGTGGGTGATATATATATATATATTATATTACCCTAGGCTTCCAACAACCATTATTTTAATAGGCTTTACCGAATCAACTAAGGATGTTACACTACAAAAACCAGGTCAACCATTTTTTTAATGGTCTTGGAAGTCTAGGGTTATATTATATGTGTTTGCTTACCATCCAATTGCACCTTCAGAATGTCGGTGGGGGGAATCCACCAGATCACACCAAAGAACAAACAGAAAACCTCGAGGTTCAATATTGTTTGTAGACTGTTGAATGTTGATTCATTCATAAAACCAATGAAAAACTATACACTCTCTCTCTCTCTGTCTCTCTCTCTCTCTTGTATGTAGATCATGTTCCAGGGTTCACATCCCAAACAACACAACCTTTTTAAAGGGACAATTCTTGATATAGAATCTGAAGCCCCGTTGTTAAAGAGACATAGTAAAACATCGAACGGTCTTTCCGAAACGGCGTAGCTAGCCACAAGCGGGGGGTCCTGTTTGACACAAGGGGACAAGGTGGATGCAACTCATATCAACTGGAGCATGTCCTAGCCACCGGCCGCCATCCAGTGCCTCATCTTTTTTTTTCCATTCTCCAACTTTGTAGAGATCCAAGTACCTCCTCAAAAGGTACTTGGACCCTCCAAAATTCAAACCCACCCCAGTCCCACCTTCTCAGAGGGTACGACTGGATCCTTAGGGACTGGCAAACAAAAACACACACAACACCGCCCGTCGCGCCCGTCGACCCGTCGACCGAGCCGTCCCGATAGTAAAGCCGCTCGTCCTTCGTCCCTGCCTGTTGCCAGGGATCTGTGCCTACGATCTTCGCGACCCGATGAATTGCTGTAGATAGATTCACCAAATTCATCTGGGGCCTCAGGCGCAGACGGGGTCGGTGGGTCAGGAGAGCGGTGAGCAAGGCTGAGCAAGGCTGAGCAAGGGCAGTGATAGATAGAGGTAAGGCAAGTGACTTGACCAATCCGGCCAATCCCAGGCCAATCTCACAGATTAGTCACCACAGATTAGTCACCATCATCCAACTACAATCACCCAATTTGGTTTAATTTATATAATGTTTATTTGCTCCAGGTTGACTTCTTGAGAAGCCACGCAGAACATGCAACGAACGACTTCCAGGCCGTACTCCGCCCCATCCATGGGTCCCCAAAACCCCCCAGTGGTGGAGACCAACGAGACCTGAGACCCATCCCAACCCCCCTTCCGGGACGGAGGGTGTCCGTCCCGCTCTTCCACCTCCCCCAAGGCCCACTCAGTGAAGAAGGCACCCTTTTTTCCCGCCTACTCTGGCCGCAGTCTGCGAACTTTGCGCAGGCGAACTGATGCCAGGTTCAGCGATGTCAGGTTAAGCGATGCCGTCGTAGGCATAAGGATTCGGGGGAAAAAAAATTGGTCAAAAAAAACCTTCAGTACATGGATTTCTGAAGGTTCAAAAGACTGCACGGGTGTTTAAAACATAGATTCCCTTTCATCCCGATTTGCTCTCTTCGCAAAGAAGTACCTAACTACTAACTATGTCCTGTAGTTCCTGGGCAATCTCTATAGTTGATGTTTAGTTGAATCTAGTGAATCCTGCACTCTGATCAACCAAGTTTTCTTCTTTTCTCCCCTACTCCGCTCTTCTCCTCACTGGGCATCGTCTCACCTCGTGCCTCCCTTGTCCCGTTGTGGTCGGTCAGCCACTCGGCGAACACGCGGAAGGCGCTGCGGCGCCGCCGGCGGTACTCGGTGAGCTGCGCCTGCTGGGAGGTGGGCATGGCCACATGACATGGGAGGTGGGCATGCCCATCTTAGATGATCTTAGTGACACTGGGCAATGAGGATCAATTTAACTGGTCCTTGGACTAATAGGGGATGGATCATGTCCCAAGAATCAAGGACCAGTCAGCTGGTGAAGGTCTTGGTTCCCTTTGGCCCAGGGCAAAACACTCCAGTTTGGAGGGTCCAATGATTCCAATGACGGTTCGGGTCCCCAAACCTGGTCCAGCCTGACCCAGGACCAAACCTGGTCCAGTCTGACCTCCTGGTTGGACTTTGTCTTGCATCATCAACTCCAGTCATGAGGGTGCGGTCCAACTGACGGTCGCTTGGCGGGGCTGAGAGACCTCACCTTTTTTTCGGTTCGTCCCATGGCTTTCTTGCTCGAAACGTCGTCTCGCAAGCGAGGCGGAGATCGGTCGCATCTCGGCCTCGGTCATCTCGCCCAAGGTTTGGCCAGCACACTGGAGGTCATCTGGGACAAAGACATCAAAGAGCTTCCTGTTTTCGCGAAAGGAGAAGGGACCTTCATGGACCTTCCCCGTGACGAAAAAGGACAGATCCAATTTGGGGATTTGGGGGGAGAAAGGGATCTTCGAAGGATCCAGGAACCCCAAATGTTCTCAATGGATGCACGGATTTTTCAGTGATGTTTGGGCCTTTGGGGATTGACAAGTGCAAGTAGACCTTGGGAATTTCCGTTAACCTGGTGTTTGGGTCGGTCATTGCACTCAAAGATCTCAAAACAGCTCAGGAAACGCACCCAGACCCTGAGGAAGAGGAGGAGATGGCAAAGGAGGGAGAGAGAGAGAGAGAAGGGGGACCATACAGGTTGGAAAAAACAATCTGCATACCAGGAGTCACAAGACGGGGTGGTGTTTAGTCCCCAAGTGAGTGGAGTAGCTGGGCACCCCTAACCTGCATTAAAAGCACCCCGTCTTGTGACTGCAGGTTTTGCACTTCTGCCGCTTCGTCTCCCTGCTTCGTTGCCCCACTGCTGTCCAATCTGCTGCCCCTCACGAAGGCTGGCGGCCGCCTCCCGTGGTGCCGTCGTCAGGGTGCCGTAGTAGGGCCGTGGCTCCTCAAAGACCTGTGGATCGTTGGGTCGGTCGGACCGGGCGGAGGGAGGGAGGACCGGCGCGGATGGACCCTCCGGTCGAGCATGTGGGGCCACGGAGGGGCGTTCAAGGAAAAGGATGGCCGAGGTGGAAGGGTAACCCCAAATGGGTTCCAGTCGTAGCTCCTCAGATTCAGTATGTCTGGACCCGACACCCGGGCCCCCACCAAGGACATTTGAAGATTGGAACCCGTCATAGGATCTATAGTGTTGGGAGTTGGAGTCGAAGTCCACTTTTGGGCACCCTTGATCTCCATTGGCCCATCCCGGACACTCCATGTCTGTCATATATGCCTACATTGGGGTGGTTTTGGGGGTCAATGTAAGCACATATGGCATGTGCATACATGGAGTGTCTGGGCATGTCTCAACAAAGCTGTCTCAGAATTGGTACCCAAAACCACCGAACACATCCCTCTTGGAAAAGAAAACTCTACCTGGTGGGCTAAAGACTGTTAAAGACTGTGCAAATGTGATCTGGCTTGTTTAGAGCATGTTGGCCACGGAAACCACCACCTTGTTTCCATGTGTTGCTTTCCGAAGCCGGCGAGCGCCAAAAAACCGCCCTGCGACGAGCGCGTGCGCGGACAGTCGTTGGGTCGGCGACTGGACTCGCCAGGGCGCGTGGACTTGCCCCGACGCATCCGCGAAGCCGACCTTCCCAGCTGGGCACCGGTGAGCCGACGCATCCGCGAACGGCTCGTGGGTCGGTCGGGGGGGCCGGACCCGCTCTCGACGCCCGGACCCAGTGCACCGTCCTTCTTAATGTCTATTGATAGCCCTGTACATCGAGGTGATATTAAGTGCACCCCGAGCTGGTGGGTCCTGACATGTCCTGACTGAGGTCCAAAGCAAAGTTGAAACCCCAAACATAGACATGTTGCAACTCCAACGGGTCTCCTCTTAGACTAAACTACGTCCCTACACTACTTGCTGATCTCATCTCCGTTGAGCATCCCTTTTGAAGGTCCAGGTGTGGAGTTGTAAAGCAAGTATATGTGGTTCGCGGCTATCCCTACTGCCGGGAGTGCTTTCTCTAGTCTTGGCGACCCTTACACATACCTCGCCTGTTTACTACAGTCATACAATGATCATACACAGGACACAGGTTGCAACCGACCGACACCCCCCACACACCATCCTGGATAATCCTGCCAAAGCACAACTGTTTCTCTCAGTCCACGTCGTCGTCGTGTGCGACACAAGATGACACAAGTGATTCTTTGCCACCACGCTCAACCCTTTTGGGGCTCCTCCCAGATCCCGTTTGATTCTGATCCCAAGTCGCGCAGGCCATGAATCCGCAGCGGCGGTTGGATTGGCCCTCCATGAGCTTCAGCAAGCCGGAGACGCCAATCGTCGCCAGCACATACTTGGTGTAGGGCCCAGGAAAACCTCGCGACCAAAACCGCTGGATTTTCGATCGGGTTTCATGCCCAGTTCAAAAAGCACCGGAAGTGGGCTTTATGCGGTTCTGTGATGTTCTGTGGCCCTTTTGACGTCCTTTGTCTCCTTTCTGGCGGGACGGCAAAAGGTGTAGAATCACACAAAGTAGCATCACGTTGGTCCCTCTCTCTCTCTCTCCCTCTCTCCCCCATTCCTTTGCACACCACTTGGACTGCCACAAATACTTCCCACTCACTTGAGGACTAAAAACAATTCCTTTGGAAGTGCTGGCACTACAAATACATATAATCTATTGATAGCACATTGATGAAGGTGAAGGTTTCCTGGAGCTCCATGTCAGGGTGCTTTTTCTGTTCGGGGCTTCAAGTGCCCCAATCAATCAATTCTCGAGGTCTGGGGGAAGAGATTCACCACCCAACTCCAAGGACCTCTGTGTGCGAAGACGTCGATTGGATTCACCTTCGGGCGGCCTCTGGGAACATGGCACCGGAAAATGAGCACCGGTCATCAGCCCCCGCACACCCTCTAACAGCGGCCGTCAAAGCGTCGAAAAATCGGCATCTACATACCAAAACCATGCGAATTGAACCTCTTTGAGCTATAGAGCCTAAAGAAAACCCAGGTCTGTGATGGCTTGGGGGCCCCTTGCTTTTCGAGGGTGATTACACTGCTGGCGCTGTCTGGGTCGGAGTCCGAAGATCTCCCGGGCGAATCGGCGAGTAAGGATCGACGGGTCGCAAATGACACCCGGATCGGCTCCTGGAGGATTGGTAGTTGCGTAACAAACCTACCCCAGACACGACCTGTCTGGGACTGCCATAGGACTGCCGATCAATTGACCCCCAAAACCACCCCAACTGATTGGCATATATGACAGACATGGAGTGTCTGGGCACAGTACCTCCCAGCGAGAAAACTCCCCAAAAACGGCGTTTTCTACCACTGCTCCTTTCCAACCCTGCCTGCCACTGCCTGCGCACCGAGATGCCGTTGAGCGCCTCGATCACGAAGCCACTGTCTTGGACCACCACGTTCGCCCCAAGCTGGTGAAAGGCCTCGCCGTTTTGCGGTGGCCCGCCGTTTGTTCGGCGCGAGAGACGTCGAAGCGTGGGTGTTCCGGCGGGACCGGGGCAGTTATTCTATAATTTATATAGATACACTGTTAAATATTATAAACAGTATTAAATATTTAACACTTAAACTACTATATAAATTATAGATTTTAAGTTAAATGAAATGAAATGAATTGATAGTACCACACCTTGGCTCAGTCGTCCAGAACTGATTCGAAGGATTCTCCCTTGGAGGTGATTTGGAGCCGTGCTCTGCATCGCTGTGTGGTGAAGCTGTCGATGAGACGTGAGGTTAAGTTCGATTCCAAAGTGAGCTTAGCACGCCAAGATCCCAGGAAACTCCATGACATTTCTTTGGTTGCGTGTCCACCGTCTGTGATGGATATCAACGATCCAATTGCTTTCAGCGTCTAAAATCATTTGGGAATATTTGGGACTGTGCCAACACATGGGTCTAGACTTGACTACAACGAAACAGGCCAAGCTTCCACTGCCAACACGCATTTCATCTCATGTCTCACCCCATCAGCTCAATTTCGCTCACGTCTGCGCTGTATTGTTCTTTAGCCCAAACACACCCACAATGGCTATCGCCCAAACACATCATTGATCGTGAGAATGGTTGACCTGGGGTCTGCGACCCCCTGTTTGGGGTTTCTAGTGATAGCCCCAGCGATGATTCGGGGTATCCATTAACCACCCGAGCTCGTGGGTGGTATATATATATATATATGCAGTCAATACTCCGGTCCCCAGCGTCTCTTAGTCTGCATACGCCTCTTGGGCTTTGGCGCGGCAGATCTCAGCGAAGGAGTCTGCTTGAAGCTCCGGAAGCTCCGCCGCGCACTTCCTCGTCGGGAGGATCCCAAAAAGGATTCCGAGGCCCACCATGACCCACCCCAATTGTATGTGTTTTTTGCCATGGCAATCCCTGGGTGATGTTCATGGTTTGGATCCTTGTCCGAACTCGTCGAACTCGCGGGTCGAAAGCGAAGGATCTGACACTACGAGGACACGAAAGCTCATGTTTCAAAGAGACATGTCTTGGGAGGCGACCAGCGACTCTCGGTTCTCCACCACGGAGGGCTGTGAAACACAGGCCCTGTTTCACGGTTCGCGTCGGGCCCTGGGCATGAAAAGGGGGACATCGAAGTCAAACCGATTGAATGATGAATTCAACAATACCACGGCGCAAGAGAAGGGTCTCCGCGGAAGCAAGCTATGGGTCCAAATGACTGGCAGCTAGCAAGGCATCGAAAGCATGTGCACTAATAGTTCAAAAAAGGGAGCGTTGGACCCAAAGTGACGGGTTGTGGGGAATTCCTTCATGGAACCTCTGAAGTTCTGTGTTAAATGCACATGCACTAGACATCGTGAACTTATGTATGCATCCAACGACCCCCATCTCCCATCCCAAACCATGACCTGTCCCGACCAAACAGAAATCTGTGGTCGCTGGACCTGTTTCTGCTTTCTCAAGACACTGCTTGGGACCTGCTCGTGTTTGACACATCTTGCACCTATACCTTCAAAAACAAAAAAGAACCTCCGCATTGGCCTGATGACCACCAAACAATGTCACCCTTTGAGACTCTTCAACCCCCCCGCTGTGGATGCCAGGCGCACGCACGGCGAGCGGACCGGTAGCCGAGCCAATACGTAGCGTCGAGGAGCTCTACGGAGTCCACCACACCCTTCTTCATGGCGGACTCCTGCGCGACCGGAGGCCGGGAGGGAGGCCATCCACGGCCCTGAGCTGCGGTCGAGGTGGTGCAGCCATGGGCCATCCGACCCGTTTGAGATGAGGATGCTTTGGGGTCTGGTTGGAGGATGGTGTCAGGCATCCAAAGTCTGACCGAACCTGTGTTGTTGTGGTCCAAAGGGTCTTGAAAGGCTAATGGGCAAATCCGGTGTGAGGAACGAACTAGCCCGCAAACCACGATGTTCTATGCCGTGAAACATTTCCCTCTGCCTTTGATCCCAGACACGACTAATGGGACTGCCATATTTGCCTAAATTGGAGTGGTTTAGGGGGGCCAATGTAAATATATATATATGATTATACTGTGGATATGCATGGCATGGAGTGTCTGGGGATTGTCAATTGTCTGGGAAAACGTTTAAATGGCTTTGGAAAATGCTCCAAACGTCCAAAAGGAGGAACTCCTCGATGCCCAGTCTGACCGACCTACTAGGGGCCCAGTTGATCCGCAAACAGTTTGCGTCCAAGAAGAAGCGAAACAGCCCTGGGCCCCAGTACCTCATGGTATACCTCAAGTCTTGGACCAAAACTCCATCTTCAAATGAACCATCTGTCCACATCTTTCCACAACATCTCCCCGGGGCTCCAGTCGTACCTCCTCAGGTGTTTGGACCTGGCACCCACCCCAGTCCCACCGAACCTCAGGTTCGGTACTTGGAGCTCTAGGAATCGAAATGCAGTTTTCTGCTCACCTTCCCCTGGACCGAAGAGCGGCCCATGTGGATCAGACGGACTTCCCCCGACCGCTTGGACCGACCGACCGTCCAGGACGATGCGCAAGAAGTCCAGCTTTCCCTGGTTCGTGGTCACAAATCTCAAGCGCATCACGCGTGCGACACGGAAACCATGGCACGGTCTTCTGGCACGTGCTCGTGTCTTCTGGCACGTGCTCGTGAGTAGAAAGCCCTTCAATGATCCTTCAAGTTTGTTTGTTCAGAGATGGTGTGGGGGTTTTGCTGGCCCAGGGGTTGACTGTGCAGCCACCCTGCTGGCCTGAATTTGAACCAAAAGCGAGCCATAGGTGCTCGGATTGCTGTGGTGCTCGTCAATTTGAGGTCAGTTCGGGTGGGGAGGTGAGTAAACTCCTGGGTAGGTATGTGTTTTCAGCTCGAGCGACCATGTTTTTCCTACAGAAAAACCTCATGCTTCCTGGTCTCTGAGCAAAGAAAGCCCGGCCTGATGAAAGCAGTTGATCCACTCCGAAAGAAGTAGACATGATGTGTGGTGCTTGTGTGAGTAGAAATGACAAGTGGATAGACCATCCACAGGACTGGAAGAGTTACCTACAAATGGGATTGAAATATCTGTCACTAGTTCCAGTTCCACATGGAATGTCATCTGTCGGTTTCGGGAGGGGTCTCCTTTTCTGGGGAAGCTTTGACAGAGCTCCAAGCGGTGCGTACCCGTGTTGCTGACCATGGTCCTTTCTTCACCAACTTGCCATGAAAGACCCACAGCCCACAGCAGCTTGAGCTTGCCACAGCAGCTTGAGCCGCAAGAGGATGGTACCTCGTTTCCTTCTCTGGCGATGGTACCACGCGAACCCTGGCCAGGATTCATTCCATTCACCGAGCCACCTGCCCAGTTCAGGTGAGCATCTGAAGGAGATACTAACTGAGGGAGGACATGGGAGGACTCTATACAAAACCAACATGATCGAGTGACCCCAAAATCGAAAAGACGTCTCATCTCCTTGAGTTGGAGCATCCTGAATCTATGTGAGACCAACCCTAAATCCCAGTGGCAGAATGTGTGTTTGTCCACCTCAGCTGGGCATCCCGGCAAGTGCTGGATGATGACATTCATCCTAAGGCGCCGCAGGACAATGTTGTCCCGTGGAATATCCGCTTGCTTCTGGCTGCGAAGGTGGATACCCAGGAGTTTACGCATTAAGATCAGTATGGCGCAAGCAAGGGGGATCTTGAAGAGGGTCTTAGTGGGTACAAAGAGGTGACCCATGTGACAGAGCAAGCTCTTCTCGGAACAATGTCCCGACGAGAGCACAACGACTCTCTCAAAGAGATGTTTGGATGTTGTTGTGTTTGGTTCGCTAGCACCTTCTCATAAAGCAGCCTGCTGATTGCTGCCTCACACCACTGAAGCTCTGCAGTCATAGCTCTTCTCACAGAAAAGGATCACCTCATGACCGCTCAAATGTCAACTCGAACACGCAAAGACACCAACCTGAGACCCCCGCCCTCCCAAGGCGAGAAAGTCCACGGAGTTTCTTCACCCCAAGAGCTTGGGAGGAAGGAGCAATCTGCACTCCATATCAGTACCCTCACTGCCAGAACTTTAGTTGAGGGCGTTCACATACCCAACAATTCGTGACCTCTTGGGAGGGTCGGAGGGTCCTGAAGCTGCAGTTTCACTCTCTTTCACCTGCGCAAGATCAGAACTTGGTTTTCTGACCATCCACAAACATTGATCCTGCCCAAGGCATCCAGTGGAAGGTCTCGGGCACCAGAAGATGCGAGATACTGAGGTAATCTGAGATATACCAGGACCCTCCAAGGGGTGTCCAATGGACTTCCCCACACTACCTATAGGCTTCCATTGGGCACCCCTTGGAGGGTCCTGGTAGATGTTCATTAGGTCTAGAACTTCCGTTTTGTTGACGCATTGTACCCCACCTGGTAGTCAGTCATGATCCAGCACAACGAGTCTGGTAGAGGCCAATGAGTCATGGGACCTCAATGGGGGGCTGAGATGCCCCAGCGACAACGTGGGACTTCACAACTCACCCGTTGATGTGCGCGAGGGTTCATAACTGAATCCCACTTCGGTGTCTGTCTACACCGATGCCCAGGCACAAGTGATGGACATCTTTGTTCTCTGACGCTTGGATAATCTGTGAATTGATCCACGGATGGGTGCCTGCAAGCAGCCGAGGCTCTGGCTAAGTATCTCCCGCAAGGAAAGTGTATACGAAAGTGCAAACAGCATTTGGTAGGGTTAAACTGGGTAGGTGTTGTGCAAACATTGTAACCTTTGCAAACAGCCTAACCCATGTGCATCTCAATACATCTCACTTTCCACGACCATAAGGAACAAGGGTTTGTGGTGCGATAGTCTTTGCAACCAGTTCTGACCTGCGACATCACGGAGTCAGATGCGATCAAGGTCAGTATCAGGTGTTGAGCCGACAATGGCACCCACCCCAGTCCCACCTCGCAGAAGGTACGACTGGAGGCCTAGGTAAGGATCCGTACCAGCGCCACCCATTTCAGGTGGTTTGGGAATGGGGGCACGGGCCGGAGCCGACAATGTCACGAATCCATCATCAACCAACCTTCAACGGTGCAAACGCACGCGTCAATGAATCAATCCCGTGGGGAATCCTCGCCGCCCCCGCCGAAACTCGGGTGAGGACATGGGACAGGGGTGGGTGGTTTGGGGGTCTGTGCCCAACCCCTGAGGATATGGGACAGGAGCCTAGTTTGGGCAATGAAGATTCAAGCAGGACACGGTCGTTGGTCGTTTCACTTCAACCTTTCAAAGGTTGATTGAAGGTGAGTAGGGGAAGAATGAATCCCCCAAAATGGGGCCCCAAGTTGGAACCTTCAAGGACGAATGTTCCAATTGGACCAGTCTGCCCATTGCTTGCGTTGCTTGGGGATCCTTCCTTTTTGACACACTCAAATTGCTGGCATGTTCATGTCTGCCTTGGTGCAGACCAAAGCCCTGCGACCTGTGTCCCAAGCCGTCCGGCAAGCCGCGGCTCCAGCCTCCGCGCCCGCCCCGTGGCTTGCGCGCACCCCCCTGGCACCGTGACGCACGGCGGCGGAGTCCGTGGTGGATTCCATGATCTTTCCCTAGGGCTCCAACCATATCCTCAGAAGGTGGTTAGACCCCCCTGGCACCCACCCCAACCACCTTCTCAGGAGGTGGTTGGAGCCCTAGGGTTTGTTCCTTTTGTTCACACCATGGCTGTGGGTTCAGGTGGTTTATAGACCCCCCCTAGCATGGTACTTACCAGTGTATGATAAAAGGTTCTTGAGGTTCTCCACACGGCTGTGGGTCACAAGTGGGAGTGACCTTGGTTGACCAAAGATCTGAGAGTCACGGGCGCAGTTAGGTTGACCAGTCTGCCAGTCAACCTCCGAGCTAATTGGGATAGAATGGAATAGACCCACACAAGGAAACGGTTTTGGAGGTTTTGGAGTGAATTAGCCCCACCTGCACGTATTAGCCCCCTCCAAATGTGACTGGAGGGAAGGGGGGTCTAAGTGGGGAGGGCCGAACGATTCCATTCGATGGGAGGTCTGGTTGGCTAGCCCTTTCTGCAGCCCTGTTTACAGTCCAACTGTGAGACTCTGGGTCTGGCAAGGGTATATATACATTCCCTGCAATCATCCTGGAAGTGGATGGCATGGCCCCGCAAGGATGACGGAATTTCCGAATATCAATCAGGTGGTGCCATCCATGTGACCATGATGATTCCAAGGAGTGTAGGCCATTTTATGAACATCCGAGCCGAAGCAGTGAGCTCGGCATCCCAATCTCTCCCAATCACATCACCACTTGCTCCTTCGCAACTACACAAAGGGCCCATTCAGTGATATGCATACATACTGGTATACCAGGACCCTCCTGTCTGGGTGTCTATGAAAAGCCACGTAAAGAGATGAGGAACGGGGTGTCCACGAACCTCCGGGCGAACGGAAGGTCCTGGTACCAGCAGTTTTTAAAGGGGCGCCTGTTGGAGGACAAGGGTTCCCATTATCCACTCACTTAGGGACTGGAACTGTCTTCATCTGCCGATGATTGGCGTTCTTCGGGTCGACATTCTTAGGGCAAGATGTCCAAGTGGCTTTTGGGTTTTGACACCCCGACCCTGCATTCCCAATATATACGTAGGTCGTAGGTCAAATTCTGCTCATTTTTGTGGGAAAATTACTTTACTTCGAGTGATCCACACCATGACATTTCAATCATTTGTCTTGATGCCATAGTGAGGAGCCTGTTGCCATGGTCGTGAGTATTGTAGTTCTCGATTTTGCTTGTGGGTCTTCGGGTTGTGTGCTGTGGTTGTGTGTTGTGGTTGTGGTTGTGTGCTGTGTTGTGGTTGTGGTTGTATTTGTGGTTGTGTGTTTGTGGTTGTGTGTTTGTGGTTGTGTGTTTGTGGGTGTGTTTGTGGGTGTGGTTGTGTGTTTGTGGTTGTGTGCTTGTGGTTGTGTTTGTGGTTGTGTGTTTGTGGTTGCGTTTGTGGTTGTTTTTGTGGTTGTGTGTTTGTATGTGTGTTTGTGGTTGTGTGCTTGTGGTTGTGTGTTTGTGGTTGTGTGGTTGTGGTTGTGTCTTTGTGATTGTGTGTTTGTGGTTGTGTGTTTGTGATTGTGTGTTTGTGGGCATGTTTGTGGTTGCGTGTTTGTGGTTGTGTTTGTGGTTATGTTTGTGGATGCGGTTGTGTGTTTGTCGTTGTGTGTTTGTGGTTGTGTGTTTGTGGTTGTGTGTTTGTGGTTGTATGTTTGTGGTTGTGTGTTTGTGGTTGTGTGTTTGTAGTTGTGTGTTTGTGGTTGTGTGTTTGTGTTGTGTGTTGTGGTTGTGTGTTTGTAATTGTGTTTGTGGCTGTGTGTTTGTGGTTGTGTTTGTGGTTGTGTGTTTGTGGTTGTGTGTTTGTGGTTGCATATGTGTGGTGTTGTGTTTGTGGTGTTGTGATTGTTGTTGTGTTTCTAATTGTGTTTGTGGTTGTGCGCTGTGGTTGAGGTCCGGCAGGGAACACTGGGCGTGGATGGTCGTGGTTGAGGTCCGGCAGGGAACACTGGGCCTGGATGGTCGTGGTTGAGGTCCGGCAGGGAACACTGGGCGTGGATGGTCGTGGTTGAGGTCCGGCGGAGGAGGAGGAGGAGAAGAAGGCGGAGAAGGAGGAGGAGATGGGGCTGACGTAAAATCTAACAACCCTCACCTGACAGGTGGGGAAAATAAACAGATCCACGGGTGCCATGACCCCATGGCCCAGGCTCTCACCGTCCCGCATCCGCCGTCCGATCTGCCCATCGCGCCTTCCCTTTACCTTTGGAATCGCCGCCCATCGCGGGCGGCGGAAGAACTCCTCCGCACCCGTTCAGGGGGGGTGATTGTTCGAGCTGAGCCGCCGGGTACGCCGGGTATAGGTGTTGCGGGCGGCGCGGAAGAAGCAAGCTGGCATTCGTTGAAGGGTGCACCTTGCAGGCATTTGGATGGCATTGAGGTATCTTCATGAATATCCTCTGCAAAGGTCTTCGGATCTCTTCGGGGAGCTTGAACCGTCAGGGTGGAAAATACATCGGTCTCAGCCGCAGCCTCCCATTTGCCCCATCGCTCGCACATGTCCCGGCCCCGTGCGCGGCCGGTCCTGGTCGATTCCGCCCGGTGGTGAGTCACGTCGAGTGACGGGTCCGTCACTCCGGGCGCCAAAATTTCAATAGATTCACTCAGGCTAATGGAGCCCAGAAGCGGCGGGTTTCGGGTTTCGGACGGGTTTCGGACGGGTTTGGGCAGGTGGTTGGTGGTAGAAGCAAGTTGCTTCATGGTGTCGGACGGCGCCCCAGAAATGATATGTTTTTGTTGTGTTGATATGGTCCTGGTATATTATGCCTTTAGCGATCGTAAAAGAAACGCATCTCAATTTGTCTTGGACAAAGATCTCAGGTGTTGGAATCGCTCGAATCGGCCAGAGATGTTCACAGAACAATCAAATGGTGGACCTTTGATAGGCTCTTGGAAAACTGGATCCACATACCGAACCTGAGGTATGGTGAGGACGAAGACACCTTTACGCGGGTTGTCCAAGTGCCTTCTGAGAAGGTATGTGGTCTTGGAAAAGACATCATGTCTGATAGATTTGATAGATCTCTCTTTTCTTCCACCCACCCATGCAGTGTTCGCTCCCGTGTGTTGCGAATCCGCCCAGCCAAGCGACAGGGCGCGGTGTTTGCTCCGCGGCCCAAAGGGCCAGCAGGTTTTCAGCAAGCGAGTTGGGATTGAAAAAATTCACCCTCTACTTCCAAGAACATGCTTTTAATGGTTGGCCCTGGTGTTATAGTGTAAAATCCTTTATAGAAAAACAATGCTGCGTTTGGGATTCAGACCATTAAAAGCAATGGTGGTTGGAAGCCCAAAATTCCGCACGGCAGTGTGCAGTTCTTTTTCCCCTCCTTCCCCCTAGTTATTACTTACACTTAGATTTCAGCCCCTTGGACACCCGGTGTTCATACGAGCGAAAAATCGACCAACAAGCGAGCTCTCGCTCAACATCGACACACGGGGCGCCCCACCATTCGGAGTCGAGACGTTCGACTGGACACTTCCAATGGACACTTCGATTGGACGGACCGGCCGGAGTCGAGACATCGATATGAATTCGGATCAGAGGAACTCGGAGACGGCGCCGCTACAGGTGCCGTCTCAAGGGCTACAGGTGCCGAAGCGGCTGCGGCGAAGGAAAAGTGACGTCGGTCGAAATCGACACAAGAGAAGCCATGCGTTAACCTCATGACGGTCTCCACTCGTGGGAATCCTCATGTTCTGCAATATGATGCAATTCTGAATCCTAAAACATGTTCCCAAAGGCTTGGGATTCCCCAAAGGCTTGGGATTCCCCAAAGGCTTGGGATTCCCCAAAGGCTTGGGATTCCCCAAAGGTTTGGGATTCCCCATGAACCGTCGGTTTCTCAATAGTTCTCTAGAATCCCAACGATCGCAGTGACTGCACAAAGATCGGTATCTAGCTGTTGTATGCTGTTGTCTGTTGTGCTCGTTCTGATTTTGAGGGTTTTGTGGCGTAGTCTTTCAAAAAGTGCAAGACTCTTGATAGCCAGTAACAACCTGACTGCCAAGAATGATCCTAGCAGACTTGATAACCAAACAATATATATATATAGTATACAGCAATAAACACACAACCCCAGAATACTTGGTCTAGCAAGTGAATACAGTAATTGATTCACATTATATAATTCCTTCTGGACAACCGCTTGTGGCAAACAAGGGATTCACCTGTATGACTCGTGTGAAGACTCATCATGTAATCATTCTACTGACCAAAGCACACCTGCCCAAAGCGCCCTATTGACGAATTCAAAGGCCCGTCACTTTGACCTGATGTAGGATGACTAATAACAACCATATAGCATCATATAGCACCCCCAATTCTAACGGTTATATTATGTTGTATGTCCCCAGGCCTGGGGGGCTTTGTCAATCAACCGTCTACATAATCTAATACTGCAAGCATCTGCAAGCAGTTGTGCTTTTTGAACATGGCACCATGTGGAAAAAAGCGCGCCTCTTTGGTCCCCCCTGGTGCTGTAGGTGGACAAAGAATATCACAGTTTACTTCTTGGCGGTGTCCATGAGTGAATCCCCTCTCCCAATCCACCGTCACGCCAGGTCATTCGGTCGAAACCGCCCGAAAGCAAACCATCGCAACCGTGCAAAAATCGGTCGAAACCTCCCAGGCGGGCGTTCGTGTACTCAGCCCCGAAACCCCGAACCGAATCCGCCTTTTCTGCCCCCCCGAAGGCCCCGAAGCGTTGCCCCCGAAGCGGCGATCGGTCGCGATGATCAGACCTCAAGCGCTCCCATCGGTCCAAGAGGTGCCGAAGCTGACGGCCGGGCGCCTCCCGGAAGAAGCGGAGGGAAGCGTCGAGGGTCGAGCATACCATCGAGGTCGGTGGAACGTCCCTCGGGTGCCGAATGGATCTTCAGAGTTTCTAGGGATCCAGTCGTACCTTCTCAGATGGTGATTGGAGACACCGCTATGTAGGTTTGGAGGGTCCAAGTGCCTTCTGAGAAGGTACTTGGATCCCTAGGGAGTGGAAGTGGTGTTTTTTGGTGGAAATCTGGGGGAGAGGCGGAGGTGGCCTGAGTAGTACAGCGCACTGAAGTGGCACAATTATAGCGTTAGTCTGAGTAGATGACTGAGGATGACTGAAGCGCTTCGATTGAAAAACATAGGCACATATATAGGCACTGAACCTTTTAGATCATCCAAATTAATCCAGTCCCAACCACACGTCCAAAACTGGGCTCATAGAGCCAAGGTCATCGGGTCGCTCCTTCTGGAGCTTGCATGCCCGCCGGTCTTCTGGGCATCGCTGACTACGGGCTGCTTGGAGGTCATAAAAGGCTGGGATGCCGGGATGGAGCGGCAATCGTCCGATTTGCCAGCACAAGTATGTCACCAGCATCAGCAAGTTGCATTTCCCAGCAGAACATGCCAGAACCATCAGAACTCCCATGAGCCCGAACGCTCCCTTCAGAGCCCGACCGGTCCCTCAAAACAGCCCGGGTCTGGACCCGAATAGCGGGGTCGCGTCTGGGGAGCATCAGTGGTGCCATATGAGCCGTACTGAGTCGCCAAGGGTTCCCTTTCTTTGCTAAAGCTACTAGCAACAGGGGCATCGTTACTATAGCAAGCTACTAGTAACTTATATATATATATAGCTACTATAGTCTATAGTGGTAATGCCCTTATAGTGACGTTCGTAACGATGCCCTTGTAACAAGTCATGTGGCTCACATGTGGCTCACATCGCTTCCACACCGGCACCGCTGCGGCACGGCCACCGACGTGTCAGTCTGGGTTGGAACCCATGGAGTCTCGCGCGCCAAGCCCATGGCCCCACAGCACCCATCATACAGCATCCACAATTGGTCGGCGTGTCAATTCTGCCTGGCCTCTTTGCCTTGTCCTTTTGGTAGCCACCAAGAACATCAAGAACTCCGAAGCATCGATGTCAGACATGATTCGATCATATTCGATCATATGATTCGCCACCGTTCAGATCATTCAGGCCAAATGGGTGAAGATGCAAGCAGTGGCCGTTCGGTTAGGGGTGCGATCCATGGAGGTTATATAGGGGTGCCCAGCTACTCCACTCACGTAAGGGGACTAAACACCACCCAACTCCATGTCACTCCTGGTCTGCAGGAGTCTGTTGTTATCAATGATCCCTCCCTCGAAGGGATTTCGTCTCTAGGATCTTTCTTTGTCTCTGGGATCTGGGGATGTCTGAAAGGTGACTTCCCCCTACCACACACCATGATTCATCTTCCAAAGACACGGACGACATCCAATAAGAAATCTTTTGGGGGAGTTGGGAAAATCGCGCACACAAAAACCTGATGCCTTGAGCGGGGGCCCGGGGCCGCCGTATTAGCCACCTCTCTGCAACCGAAAAACACCTCAATTCGGGCCCTCCTCCAAGAACGTCTCAGTGCCCAACCCAATTCCAAAGCCTTCCCCTTCCAGTTCTTCTATGCCCACTGATCTCCCAAACCCTCCGCGTGGCCCAAAAACATCCACAAACCTAACATGACACGCCCCAAAGTCATCCATGACGTTTTCATGATGTGTTCATCGTTCTCCGGTCCACCGAGTCCACCGGAACTTCCTGGGTCGACACCGCCTCGCTGGTGTCGAGGACGGCCTCCAACTCCGTGATCAAGGCCACCAGGCGTCGGGCCTCTGGGGGCGGTGTGCCACTGGGCCTCGTGGGACTCCAGGGGACCGCTTTGGTTGGAGGTTCTCGGCCGTCTGCGTTGGTCTTTGAGGACCGTGAGTGCCGTCTAGTCTCGTGTGGTTCTCCGTTTCGACGAACCGGTAAGAGGACGAAGAGAGACGGGTGACGGTTCCAGATGTTGATCAAAAGCCATGCAAAAACCCTATCTCCAGACCCTACACCGACTTCGTCGTAGCTCTTCAGGTTCGGTATGACTGGAGCCGACAATGGCACCCGGGGCCCCCACCAACCACCTTCGAAACGAAGGTACGGAGGTCTAGGGAAATGGTTGGGCTTCTTCTGCTTCAACTCGCTTGCGGAAGTGCTCCATTTGGTCGTTGCTGGGAAGCCATCCGTGAAGACCAAAAGGCGTTCCAAACCCTTCCAAGGTCCAAACAACTTGAGTTCGACCGAACCACTCCGAAAAGGCCGGTGACGGTTTCCGCAAAGTGGGGTTTCCTCCAGCACGAAAAGGATCCAGCAAACTGCACATCTGATGGTTTTCATTGATGTTCCCCATGGGGGGGAAAGGAACGATCCTTCCTGCTGTTCCGTTCGGTCTCTAGAACCGAAAGTGGTTCACACAATATATGAACAACACAACAGCTCATGACTCCCTGCCATCGATCACCCATAGATCAGGTGAATGTCTTCTTATCTTTCCCAGACACTCATGGACCCTCATATGGAGGGATCTGGGGTCTCAACTCAGATTTTGAGGGACCAGTTGGGCTGTTTGGAGCGTCTGGGTTCAAAACATGTTGTAGACTACCAGTCGTAGCAACAGAACATGACCTGCAAAGAACTGTCCATTCAGTCGGTGACGACCAGACAGACAGGCTCAGCAGCTGGTGCTCGGTGCTTACATGGTAAAGTGGTGATTCTTAACAAAGTGCATGGCGACTTTATAGAATGAACTGCCAAACTCTCAGTTGTTCTGCTATAGGCAACTGGCAGCTTTACCGTGGACACACTCAGTCAACGCTCAGCTGAATAGAGTTGAGAGAGAGAGAGGAATGTTGCATCCAGCCTGCAGCAACTCCTCCATGGGTATGCCAACCTTCTCCAGGGCCTCCTGAAGGCTTCAAGGCCACGTCTTTCACGTCTTTCAGCCCAGAGAAGCTCCGAAAAGCCGGACCACGTGAGCTCACGTGGAGCCTCGTGCCCGGCTTAGTGGCCCCACACCCAAACTGAAAGGTCTGTGCGCGGCCAAAAGGAGACCATCCCTGCCATGCTCTGAAGCCAACCGGTGCGCAAAGCAGGGAGGATCCGATACCCAGCCGACACCAACTATGCAAAATGTCTGCCGAACTTGGCTGGTTCTATAAATAAAACGGCCGAAAAATGGCATAGTTGGAAGGTCTAGGGCCAGGGATCTGCAAAACAACTCTGTGCGCTTTTGGACGGCAAGTGATGCGATTCCGGAGCTCCTTGGACATATCATTGGGCCTTTGACGAACATATATATATATATATAACCATGTCACCTCAACATCTTCGACAAATACCTACAGTATATGATCCTATATGCAAGAGTTCTGCCTTTTGGATGCTTTTAAAGGTTTAAAAATTAGATGAAACGCGATGAAAGGAACGTATGCTGCACAGTTGGAAGATCTACGTGGACCTTCAAAAGGGGTGCTCAATGGAGATCCCTAAGTCCTAATTAGTGGGGAAGTCATGAGCAGTCATGGATAGTCTATTGGAGACCCCGAAGGTGCTGATAGGTATGTGATTATGTTTTGAACACAAACCCCACTCAAGCCGTCGATTGATCATTCGATGAATCTCTTCTCTCCGCAATCTCTGCAGGGCGTCCATGATGTTTTCTGGATACTCTCTCAGAAGAGGCACGGTTACGTGGGTGGAAAATGGCCCCGAAAGGAAGAAAGACCTTTTCGAAGACCCAAACAGCTGGGTGCCATCATGTGCCATCATGTGCCATCCACTTCACATGATGCCCGAATGGGGCGTCCTTCGGCAGCGTCTCCGATGCTAGACCCAGCTTCGCCTGCCAAAGCATCACTCCGCTGCCAATGGGCGCTGACGGGGGGGCATCAGTGAGGTGAAAGGAAACCCTACAGGTCGCCATCGGACCACATTTGACGGCATCCGGTCATGCAACACCAATACGAAACATGAGGTCAGTCGGACCAGGTTTAACTTGGCCGCTGGCCTTTGGACTTGTAACGGAGTGTTGTCTATATCCGGACCAAATCACATCCAAGCACCAGCGCAAGCCTGTTTCAAAGCAGCAAAGAGCCCCCGCTTTCCCGACAGGATTGGGTGACTGCCCTGAGATGCATCAGAAAAACCTCACAAATCCTCTGACACCCTAAAAAGAACTTAAAAGAACCATCCCGAACCATCCCCCTATATAGAAACTTCTAAACATCTACCATTTCCCCACCTCAACCCTATCGCCCTTTTCCTTCCCTCCAGCTCACCTGTCTTCTGCTCCCTTCCTGCCTGGAGCCGCGCGGCCGCCAGCAGCAGCTGCTGCAGCTGTGCCAGGGAAACCTTCGGAGCTGTCAGCTTCAGCCGCACCACGTCCTGCGACCATCTGCCGCGTGTCCCGTCGGGGTTTTGGGGGACCAGACCTCGGTGACCCTCCAAACAGCCCCAGGGACCCTGAGAATGGACCGGCGGTTTCAACCATGTTGCGAAGACCAACCCATTGGTTTTGGAGCTCCATGTGGATCGAATAGCAGGGGACGGTGGAACCTGTGGACTGAGGGCCCGGGTATCTCTCACCACCGTGAAAAAACCGAAGAAGGACTCCCATGGTCGCTTGGTCGCTCCAGGCTTGCCTGTTGGAGCGCCTCGACCTCCTCATGATGCTCTTGCAACCTGGGAAGCAGGCGGAGCGCCAGCTAGCTAGCGGAGCCCTTTTTGGGGTTCCACGCGTTCCGCGCTTGATTCATATCATCGTCTTTCACAAACCACCATGGTTTTTACACTCTCTACGCTACTACACCAGGTCAGCCATCTTTACAATAGTCCTAGAAGCCTAGGGTTGGGGGGAGGGAGGGAGGCCCCAGTGGGAGCAGCCAAAGTTCTAAACGTCTTTTGGGGCACAACACTGCCCCCTTTTGGCTCCAAGGGCCTTATGAAGGCATGTTTTAAGGCCGGGTTTTGAAGTGGTTTATACTTCAATGGATAGTAATGTTGGAGAGAATAAGGATGCTCCTTAGGAGTCTCCTATGATTGATTTCTGTCAAGTTCACAGAATGATTTGTCATGTTTTGTTGAAAAAAATCGAACATCAGTCTCGCTGGAGGTCAACTCCTTGGAATCATCATGGGCCAACGTGGATGGCACCTCCTGTTTAAAATATTCGGAAAGCTCAGGGTCATCCGAAGGGAACTCGGGCCATGCTCCATCCACGCTGGCCAATGATTCTTCCGAGTGTCGTGCTGCAAACCGGCTGGTGAGCAGAAGCATCGTCCAAGCTGGACTGGCTGTGCGGAACATGCCCTGGAAACATCTATATATACCCTAGAGCTCCTGGCCTACCTCCGTTTTGAAGATGGTTGGGCTGGGTGCCAGGGAAGTCTAACCAACGAACCGGAGGATATGGTTGGAGCCCTAGGGATAGAGACCCCAAAGAACCAAGGGAACAAATGCATGGAACATGATGGAACTCCACATAATTAGTCTCAAGCACATGTGTGTGATAGAATTGATCTCAAGCTGGCGCCATTCTGGAAGTCATTCTTTGTTTCTGCTTGGGACATGTTGGGACTGAGTTTCCAGGCTGAGAAAGGGTGTTGTTCCTTTTTTGCTTCCGCGACATTCCTACACCCGCACCCAGGTTCCAACCTTGGCACTGAAACAAGCTGGCTACATCCAGAAAGCCAAAATACCCCACACTTCTTGATTAGGAATCCCAGCAGTCCCTAGGGATCCAGTCGTACCGAACGTCAGGTACGGTGAGGTAGGCGCCAGGAGGGCCCAGTCGTACCTTCTGAGGTTCGGTAAGTGGATCCCTAGGGAGTGTTAGCAACAGCTATGGGACGATTCCTCCTCAAGATCTGTTCGTTGAAGTCGGAGGTTCCCTTCAGATCTCCCGAAATGCTCCACGTTTTGGAGAGACAGTGCTTCCACAGCGACGTTGGAGGAGGTTGGCAGGGTCGACGTGAGGTGCTATTCTTTTTGGTGGTTTGAAGCTTTTTCGGAACTTGAGTACTCATTGAATCTCATTGAGTTATTTCATTCCGTGCCTTGAGTCTCTCAAATCCTTGCAGCCAATAGGGTGTATTGGGTTGTCGACAAACACCTGCAACGTCACAGTTCGAAGATGCACATCCAGCAGGGCTGCACAAATGAGTCCAAACCTCGCAACCCGGAAAATCACCCAGACTTCCCAACCACGCGACACTCCTCTTCGCAGCCGTGCCTCTGGCGGAGGGCATCTTCCACCGCATCTCCCACGTCGACTTGCAAGGTCTCATCAAGTGCCTCCAGCCGGCGCTGGGCACGGAGGGTGCGAATGGATCCCAAATGCTTCCTGTCGAGGTGAATAGACTACTGAGAACAGAGGTCTCCAGATGCTTCGCGTCCTGACAGGAAGCTGAGCAGGGACCATGTCTTGGAAACAACTGGGCGAAGGCGGCCGCCTTCGGCCCAGTTCGACCGAAGCTCCCCGGATCTGATGTGGACTGCAAGTATGCCTGGCCTATCCCAATGACCCTTCTTGCAAATCACCGGTCACCGAAGGTCCGTTCGTCGAGACGGTGTACCCCAGGGTGGGGCTGAAATTGGTCCGGCGCCGCAGAACCACGCGACCTCGGACCGGAAGACCAGACTCACCTCGCCTCGGTCATGACGGTGGTGGCGCCAAATGCGTGGTGCTTTTATAGGATGTGTTGGTCCACCTAATAGGTCTCCAGATGTGCTATGACCCCCCAAAAACATCGACCTAATAGGTCTCCAGATGTGCTAGCTGCTACGACCCCCAAAAAACAAACAAATTTGGAGAGTGACCTGTCCGTGGATGTTTGGACTGCTCGAAAAAGGGTGAACCGGCCATGACGAGACAGACCCACCCTAGCCGTAGCTTTCCAAAACCAGTTTTAAAATGATGGCTGACCTGGTTTTGTAGTATACCCTCCCTTCAACAAAAGTAGAAGTGGCACATGGCCTCTTGGAAGACTGTTTTCCTCCACTGACTGGGGGCTTTCCACGATCCTTTTGCTTGGAGGTCATCGCTGGTAAGGTTGGAGGCCATTGCTACTAGGTTGGAGGCCATTGCTACTAGGTGGGTTGTTTGAGATTCAGCCTTATAATTGGAAAGAATCTTAAGGGCCGCCCGTCGTCTTCCGCCAGTGGAGGGCCTTTTTTGGAGCCGACCTTCTCAGGGGATCTTCTACTTCGTTAAGAAACCTTGGGTGCTGTCAGATTTGTTTTATGTTTCAAGACTTCGAGCCTCACAGGCACTTTCAAGCAGCAAACAGAAAGCGCCACGGCCACGAATTGACCCTCTTGGGTCACAGCGAAGTATTTCTCACAGTATCAGACTGAGCAGCGAACAGATGAAGAAAAAAACCAGCTTCACCATGTGTTTCCCCACAACCCAGTCCGAAGCAGAAGCAGTCCCATGCGGTTCTGAGAGGCCGTTAGAGGTTCCCTGTACACGTTTGAAACCGGACGGGACTGGGGAGTGAACTACTCCGGCTGTTTGCTGGTTCCCACGGGGTTTCCAGGACTCTATAAGTCACCCTCTGCAGTGACAGGGAGGGGTAGGTAGACACCAGCAGCGCTCTGAGGGAACGTGTGGGAAAGCATGAAGCCTCAAAACCATGAAGCATGGGTGTGATCTCCATCCTCATATATACTCCTGTTTGGGAGTCTGGGTGATTCAGGTCAAAGATGGGCTCGCTGGGCTGCTGCATTTGTGGTGATAGAAAGTGAGCACTGCTGACTTTGGGGAGGATATTTCTGTGGCTCACATTCCGGCCAAGGACGAGGATGAAAAACCCGATGGTGGAACAGCGTCCAGCATCGACTTTACTTGATCCATCCACCCACCTCTTGAGGGACCGCCCTCCATCTGCTCATTTTTCCTCCGATAAGACGTCGCATCGAGGGACGCCGGTCGGTCTCGCCGCTGAGTTCAGCTGGCATCGATGAACACCACGGGACGAGGTCGGACAAAGAAAAAACATCCTCAGCACAGCACAGGAGGTATTGCGTTCAGGTGGACACCTGGTGCGACACAGAAAGTGGTTGACGAGAGACTGATGTGACTGATCTGATGATCTGCGTGTGGGATCTGCTTGACTTGATGATCTTGAAAAACTCTTGAGCTCTTAACGGTCTGACCTCGCTCCGGCTTCTTCATTCACTCGCATTAGCTTCCCGGCTCCAGGGTCACCAGGGTCACCAGGGTCACCAGCAGCATCGCAAAAAAAACAAACATACAAAACCAATAGTCAATACCAGAGCCCCCGGTTTGGGGTATCTAAGAATCGAAAAATAGACCATAAAAGCCCCTTGTAGAGGTTGAGGGGTGTGCATTGACAAGCCTCAGGGTTGTGTCTGTCCATGACCACCCGCAATAGGAGGTCAAGAAACCCCTGGAGCAGCAAGAACTGGGGCAGTGGCAGCGAAGACATCCGGGGTATGTGGTTGTATGTGAGCTCAGCTTCATTCAGCTTGTGACTTCAGACTCAAGGAATTGGTTGCTCTCGTGTTTGTTCCAAAGACCCCAGGACATGAATGCCAAGCTTTGCAATATTATTGTTCACAGCCGGCAGAACATTTTAGCTAGGAAACTGTGGGTCTATGTCCCGCCAAGAGGTCAAAAAATTATCGGCACACAGCGTTTGACCAAATCTGTGCAACTCTGACACCACGAAGCAACCTGGTCTGAGCCCGTCCATTCATCCCATTCTTCAACGACAGCAGATCAACAAAGGGCATGACCCTGGCACCCGCTCCTTATGTACACGGAACGAACCAACCAGCCAGTCAAATTTGACCATGCCAGCCGTGTTCACCACGCCTCTAAGAATTTGGCCATCAAACCACCATTTCGAGGTGCCAGGCCTCTTTGGCTGGCATATGCGGCCAGATTTTCCAATCCCCAGCCGAAGCTGTTGGGGTGGTGACAGGCCCAAATTGCTGCACCGTCCTGGCAGACCTTTATCAACTGCGGGTGGCCCACTGTCAAGCATTGTTGGCACTGGCATCTGTGGGCGAACACCAGCCACTCGCATTCATCAGTGCACCAAGAAGCACCTGCCTCTGCATGGAAATTCCAGATTTCCTCCGACTACTTGGATGGGCTGGGTCCTTACTAGTGGTTTAACATGTTTAAGATGTGTTGCTAAGTTTAACTAAATATATGCTAGTCGCCTCTAGTGTAGCTAACATACGAAGAACATATGGTTTTTCCAAGTCATTCAAACCCATTTGGCAAGACATCGAAACCAATCTGACAGGAAATTTCACCAAACCACAAAGACATTTTGCTCCTCAAAGACTTTTGCTTTGGTCCTGTGGGCTGGACATTGACGATCTTCAGCTTGGAGGTCCCAGTGGCTTTTTTGAATTATCAAGTCCCGGTTGCTATAGGATTTGAAGCCTGATTGGTGATCTTCAGGTTGCAAGTTATAATGGCTACAGTTTTCAAATTCAACCGTCGCTCATTATTTGTCATATGCAGAGCAATTCTTACGGCTCAAGTGAAGACACATACATACAACTGATATACAAAGTGTTTTAAAGAACAAACTTCATATCTAAAGACAATGGAGAGTGTCCACTTCCTACCGAAGGTGGGAACCGAGGAACTAACTAAAACCGTGGACCAATGTTTTGGCAAACAAATTGAAGGAACAACATTTGATGACTAAAGTTGTGGACCAATTTTTTGGTGAGGGAACTGAAGGGAGCAAAACCAAAGGACCAAACCTGTGGACAAAACTTTTTGGTGAAGGAAGTAAAAGAAGTAACACATAATGACTAAAATTGTGGACCAAAGTTGTTGGTGAAGGAAATTAAGGAAGCAAAACCATAGGACTAAAACTGTGAACATGTTTTTGGTGAGGAATTTGAAGGAAAAAACTTGATGACTAAGACTGTGGACAAAACAAAATCGGTGAAGAACATTAAAGAAATAAAGCCTGAAATGACTAAAACTGTGGACATTGTTTTTGTGAGGGAATTGAAGGAAACAAATTCTGATGACTAAAGCTGTGGACCAAAATTTTGGTGAGGGAAGTGAAGGAAACAAAATCTGATGACGAAAGCTGTGGACAAAATGTTTGGTGAGGGAGCTGAAGGAAACAAAACCTGATGAATAAAACAGTGAACAAGACTTTTTGGTGAAGGAAGTTAAAGAAGTAAAACCTAATGACTAAAACTGTGGACAAAAGTTGTTGGTGAAGGAAATTAAGGAAGCAAAACCATAGGACTAAAACTGTGAACATGTTTTTGGTGAGGAATTTGAAGGAAAAAACTTGATGACTAAGACTGTGGACAAAACAAAATCGGTGAATAACATTAAAGAAATAAAGACAAATGACTAAAACTGTGGACAATTTTTTTGGTGAGGGAATTGAAGGAAACAAAATCTGATTACTAAAGCTGTGGACCAAAATTTTGGTGAAGGAAATTAAGGAAGCAAAACCAAAGGACTAAAACACGTGTTGAAGAGCCCAATTAAATATTCGATCTAAGCTGTCCAAGCCCAGCCCACAACGAAGTGTAAAATAGCAGCAGCGAGGAGTAAATCGGCTCAGCTCACGATGGGATCCTCGGCTTAGCTCAAGGAATCCGCTGGCGGAATGCAAGAAAATCTGCGGGAAAATCCCAGGAATCTGCCAAGACCATTCATGGATTTGAGGCGAAGGCCATTTATGGGGCGTTTTGATGCCCAATGCCCAATGGCCTACAAAAAAGACAAAGACAAACCCACAAAGCAAAGCACTGGTTTTATCGGATCTTGCAATACATAAAAACGATTCAAAAAGGGGGTCATTGATCGCAACATGTGTGACTTTGAGGGAGGCTTCTCCAACAAACAATCATAACTCAAACGCGTTCTTCCAGAGGTTCAGAGGGATCAACGGTGTTAGGCTTTTGACCATGTTTGATCGGCTCGCTTCAGGAGTCACGATGCCACACAGCGCGGCAGCAAAAAAAGCGCGAGCCTCTCACATGTCCCAATACGTATAATAGCCGCATGACCCAGCTCAACACTCCTGAAAGCCCTTAAGAACACACACAATTTTTACATCCAGCATCCTTCACTTACAAGTCTCGATGGGGAACCAAAAACACCATGAAGCGCCATGACAAGCCCTGTCGTTGAGGACAGGGCATCCTCGATGATCTCTTCTTCTTCACCCTCTTCGGTGTAGATGTATTCATCGGCCTCCTCCACGGCTTCAGGCACCTCGCACCGCGCACCCGGGCCATCTTCGCCATCTTCGTGGCTTCGACCCCGCCGGTGTTTCCGCAGCCCCATCTGAGACCGGGGGTGGCTGGAAGACCGTGGTCCAGGCGGTCTGGTCGGTGTTCTTCTTTTATGTCCCTACACCGACTTCGGAGGTTAGCTCCTCAGGTTCGGTATGACTGGACCCGACAGTGGCAGCCACCCCACCAACCACCGAACCTCAAGTACGGTACGACTGGAGGCCTTCCCGGGTGTCGAAGGCTTCACTTGATTCATCACCTGACCCTAGGGATCCACATACCTTCTCAGAAGATCCTTGGGCCCTCCAAGCCTACATAAATAGTCGAAGGTACTTGGATCCCTAGGGTGAGTATACCCAAGTCGAACCTCCGGTGCATCACACCTGTGCACTGCACTTTGCATACACGCCGCGTGCACCATTCTCCTACCTGTCTGGCCCTGGGTGTGCTGATCCTGCGCCAAAAGCGAGTCCTATTCACCATGGACCTGTCTGGGTTGAAAGTTGAAGCTCCCTGTCTGGGTAGGCTGATCCCTATGTTGTCTTTGTGGGCTCCTGGTCGCCGCCCTCCGTTTCGATGATGGGACGGGGGTGGGTGGTTTGGGGGGTCTGTGCCCACCGAACCTGAGGATATGGGACAGGAGGCCCTAGGGTCACTTGCTAGGAGCATCAGCAGAAACACTATGAAACATGACCCTGTCCCAGCCCCGAACATGGAAGTGGAGCCACCTGCTGAGGATTGATTTCATGGTCATCCGAACGAGCTCGCGGCCATTTTCATCCATGTTCCATCATGTTCCACCCATGATTATTCTTTGGACAGGCGACCCCCCCAAGAATAGCTTTAATGTTCATCGTTTTAGCTTGGAGCTGAGGTTACACCATGTAGGTGCAGGGCTCTTCGTCAAAGTGACCACATGTGACCAGGGTGACCACATGTGCCAAACCCAAGGAACCAGAAAGAACAAAAAAGAACGAACATGAACGAACATAATATTCTAAAGGTCTAATAAACAATTAAAAGAAATCCGACATGAAAAACAAAGACATACAAAGAATATGCCTACGTTCCATGTTGTTCCAAGATGGTTTGCTTGAGATCCCTTTACATCACAAGTGCTTGGGACTGTGCAGTGCCATCCATTTAAGTGTCTGATTCTTTGGGGAGTCCAGGTTTGTCACCAGATGACCTTTACTACCATCTTTATGGGGATGAACCTGACGAAGAGCCAGTGAATGGCTTCCGACCGGTCCTCAGTACCCACTGTCGAGATGGTTGATGGTTACCATCAAACACCCCTTAACCTCTATGGGCTATCAACAGAAACCCCTTAGGGGGTCCTATCAGATGAGGACTTTCACCCCCAAATCCCAAACTTCCAGGCATCGCTTAGCTTCACGGTCCAACCCGCGCCTGCTTCGATTGGCTCGGAGCATCGGGCTCGGCCCTCTCGGTGACCTTCACACCTGAAGCGAACCACAGCGCAAACGATGCAAAGATAGGTTTGCAAAGGATCCGAGTCTGCAAGCCCGTGTCGAATGTCTGCAGTCTGTGTGTTTGACTGAAAGACCCGGGCTGGACATGGTAGATGAGGGATTTCTTGGTATCCCAGATCTTTTTCAAACAGAACACAGGCAGTATAAGAACTAAACAAAAATAGAGACCTACGACCATGTAAACCGGGCTGTCTAAGTTCCTCTTCTTGAATCCTTTTCTTGAACTATAGCTTTTTGTTGAACTCGTTGAGTAGAATCTGGCACCAAACACATCATAGATTGCACAAAAAGGCTGGGGACCACCTTGGTTGAAGACCCACCCATGTCATCCATCCTCTTAGAAGAAACATCTGATCCCCATCTGATCCCCCAAGAAATCACCTGTTGCATAACTGCGCCGCTCCTCTTTGTTTCACATCCTTCCTCTCATCCCCACGTCACCCTGGGCAACCCGACTGCCCTCGTTCAGACGTGGCTCGGCCTGCGCCGAAAAACCCGGGACCGGACGGGGACCAAATCATCGAGAACAGAGCGCTTTCCCCAAAGCCTGAGTTGAACGATCATTGAATTAATAGAAAGTTGAACCATGGACCTCCTGTCTCAAAATCATGGACCTTTGGGTTGAAAGTTGAAGCTCCCTGTCGGCTGATCCCTATGTTCCCTATAGGGCTCCTGGCCTACCTCCGTTTCAAAGATGAGACAGGATGGTTTGTGGGGGTCTAACCACGAAACCTAAGGATATGGGACAGGAGCCCTAGGGTAATAGAAAAAATGGTTCGTTCTTTCATGTTCTTTCATCTCCCCATCTCTCTCTCTCTCTCTCTCGCTCGTCGCGCGCGTGCAAGTTATGTCAAGTTGCTTCTTATGCAGGCTCACCGACTCGTGTCCCAGACGACCGCAGGCTTGCACCCTGGGCCCTATTAAAGATAGGTGTCTACAGGGCTGATCGGCTATACCACCAGAAGCAGTGTGGCAGACCCAACCACCAGGAGTCACCCTTCCTTGGGTGGTGTGGCTCGTCCCCCAAGTGAGGGATGTGACAAGGGGCTGGTATACACTCATGTACGCACGCAGCTGGTGGTCCAAGTCGCCTGTTGATTGGAATCACTGCACTATATATATATATATCGGTTGCCTAGCACGATCTTTTCATGTCAACTTTGCACCTTTGCTCTCCAGCTGGCTCTCCTTTCTGACTTTCATATACTTTTTGTGGTCTTTAATGCATTTCCAGTGCTGCCATTCTCTTGTCCTTTTCAGCATCCCTGTTGCGCACACACACAAGATGCCTAACTTCAAATTGTTTAGGGCCATCATGGGCCATCCGACATCATCCGACCAGTTTCATCCCATGAAATCCATCTTCGTCGCATCAGCGCACCCCCAACCCTCGTGAAACGGAGAAACACCAGGCCGGGTACGGACTTCGGGACGGAGGGGTGAGCTGCTCTGCTCTGGGGGTCGGCGGCAAATGAAGTGAGAAGCTCTGGTGTTTTCTTCAAGGCAATGAAATGTAATGAAGCATCTAATTGATGTATTCGTTACTGAGATCTATATAATTACGAGTATGTATATATAACTGTATATGGACTTCGAATTGATAGCACATGCCGCATAAGCAAGTGCTGTGCCACAGTCAAACACCAGACATCTTACCAGTGACATCTGCAATGGAGACATGTCCGGAACACCAAATCCCACAAACCTCCGTATGATTTCCACCACCTGATCCCCTTTGCCTTCGCCTCATTCCAATTGATCCCATGTTCCCTTTGCCTTCGCCTCTCCAAGCACCTGAACAAGGCTCTGAGCACCTGAACCGGGGCGGAGGAGCGGGACGGGTCGCCCGACCGACCAACGCCCTAGGGGACAACCACATGAGCCCGGTGGTCGCTAGGCTTGGGGACCGACCACCTCGCTGTTTGGGCATCCCTGTTGAGAAGGTTCCAGAACGGGGTACACGGGGGGGTACGGCTCCCCTCAGTCGAGTATAGTGTGATGGATGACTTGATGGGATAATATATTTCCAGAATTACGAAGTAGAAGTAGATTGAAGTAGATCATGCATCATCTTCTTGACGGTCTTTACTTGATCATCTTTTAACTTGGAGCCTGAATTCACTGAGCACCGGAGATGTTGAGCGCTGAGCACTGGCTCTGGGAAAGTTCTGGGCCACCATGTACTATAGGGAAACATGGGACATTGACCATGAATTATTGGTTCCTTACTTAGGCTCAGGGGGTCTAACAGTCTGACCATCACGCATCTGTTGATAAGCACTGTCTCACTTCATCTTGCCATCGAGGTCGGGGCCGAAGTCGAGAGCATGCAGCTTTCTGGTCATGAAGTTTCCACTGGCTCTATGTCCAAGGCTTTAAGGTACTTGTGGCCAGTTCAACCATATTTTCATCACGTTCAATCCTATCAATCCTTTCCAAAAAAGCCGGCACCAGCTGCACTGCTGCACTCGCCCTACGGATTCCGCCGCTTCTCGCCTACTGTGCCGCTGCCCACACTGCTGACACTGCTTCGGGGGGGCGAGGCCCCGGCAACTCCTGGGGACGGTGGACGGTTGGCTGTCGCTGGTATGTCCGGCTGCTTGAACTTGCGGCTTTCCCTAGAAGCAAAGATATCGATCGCCCTAATCAGCAAAACCAGGATTAGTGTGTTGCCAGATGTTGCCAGTTCAGGGGTGGCTGGTCCAGTCGGAAGAAGAAAAGCTGCTCTGCGATGCTGTGCCTTTTGCTTGAACATTCTCCGGATTGATCGAGCCAGGCTCCAACAATAGATGTGGAAGGTTTTTTTAGTGGGTCAAGAAGGGGTGCTGCCACGCTCCTTCCGATAGAGCTGGGGAGCTATTGGACTGCAACCAAGACCGAGTCTGGAACCAAAAGTCCATTTCCGAGATGGGTTCTGAACTGGTTCTGATGCTTTTCATACAGCAAGCTGGCCCCAAAGCTGAAAGCCTTTGCAGTGTGTCTCTGCTTCGTGGATAGAAATCAGTGAAGCTTCGTGCCTGGAACCAGCTGACGCAGTGGGGAGTTAGACACTGGAGATCATGGTAGGTCAAGTGGTCCAGATGGTCTTTCCCTCCAAATTCTCTCTGTGGATAGGTCAAGTGCCATCGGCATCTGACATCCGCCCCAAACATCCAAAAGCGAGGTGAACACATGACACAAACGTTCGGATGTTCAGCAAGAAATCTCCTGAATCTCGGCCTGTCCTCGGAGAAAATCATACGCAGCCCATATCACCATATATATATATATTATTATATATTATACATATATAATATATATATATATACATATACAGTGTTTCTTCATGTTTCTTCTATCTTCATCTTTGAAGTGTCGGATCGCACGTTGCGTTGTTTCGTTGCTCACCAAAACTGCTCAGCTCTCACGAGGGACTCGCGCAAGGTTCACGTTTCCGAGTTTTTTTTGCTTGACGACCAAGTTGATGCATTACCCAGACACTCCAGGGGACTGCCATATGTAGCCTGCATTGACCCCCAAAACCACCCCAACTGATCGGCATATATATGACAGACATGGAGTGTCTGGGCTACAGTACCGTATCTTGTCGAAAGATGTCGAAAGCTTCACCGACTTCCACCGCCTATGTGTACTTGATGCAGTACACCCCCCAAGCACCGCCGCGAGAAGCTGCGTCGTGATCCATACGAACTCAAGGTATACCCCAGACACTCCATGTCTGTCATATATGCCGATCAGTTGGGGTGGTTTTGGAGGTCGGCATGGCATATGCCATGCCAGTCCCATTAGTCGTGGGGTACCCTTTGACCCCGGATCCTTTCGATCAGTTCCCTCCACTCTTCCACTCTTCAGCCGGTTCAGCACCTCTCCCTGAACAGGACCGCAGGACCACAGCCGCGCTGCTTCGAACTGCGCTGCTCGGCTCCGCTGCCTTCGCCTCGCCCCGGCTCCGGTCCTGCTCGGGCAGACGCCGTCCCCGGGGCTCCTGAAGTGGAGGCGGTCACGTCTGGGGGGCCTGGGGGCAGGTAGCTCGTGCTGAAGCTTATGAAAAGGCACTACTTCTAGTACCGCATACTAGGACCATCTAGGACCTAGTAGCATGGAGCATCCATGTTTGTTTTCGCTTGTCCTGGCTGAAGATTCCGGAGGAATGGAAAGCGTCGCCGATTGGAAATCCCTTAGGATGAGGTCGAGATATCTCTTGGTTGCCAACACATGCACCACGATGAGATTTTTCAGTCTGCTGGATGTCTCCCCGGCTTTTGGAGGCCAGTGACCGGCAAGACATGCATTCATGAACCTGTCGGCTGTAGATATCTGTAGATGGCTGTCGGCTGCAGGCACTCTAAATATGGCATTGTGAATGGCACGATGTTATAAGAAAACAATGAAGAAGCTTGTGAGAAACATACTCCCTTGCAGAAACGACCAGGACCCAACAAACGCCTCCCAGCAGCAAGAACCTGCAAAGACCTCTCTCAAAACCATGGACCTTTGGGTTGACAGTTGAGCCTCCCTGTCTGGGTGATTCCTATGTTCCTGTGGACTCCTGGTCACCCCCTCCATTTCGAAGGTGGGACAGGGGTGGGTGGTTTAGGGGGGTCTGTGCCCACCGAACCTGAGGATATGGAGCCCTAGGCCGGCAAGTGCCAGTTCAAGACATCTCGATGACAGATCCTCCCCCACTGAAAACCGTCTCAGGCACAGAACCTGTCTGACCCTGGGTTGGCTGATCCTGCGCCACTTGAACCCAGAGTCCTATTCACTTCGTATGAGCATCAGTAGAAGCACCACCCACCCCAAAAAAACATGGAAGTGAGAAAACAACTGCTTTGTAGCCGAAAATGGTCTTCCAATGACCCTAGTTATTGTCCATTATTGTTGAAGGGAGAGTATATCTCATATCCCAGGTCATCCAATCCAGATCCCCTCCAACCATTGACCACCCACCGCTCCGACGGTAGCAGCAGGAGGCTGTGTCACCACACCTGAAGTAGGGCAAGGTTTGAGCAGAAACTGTACACCCCTCAAGAATCTTGGCTCAGTTCCCAAACAATGATTTATACCCGGACCCACTGCTATCAATAGAAACCCCAAAAAGGGCCTTAGAGGGTCCTGGTAAGCATTTGTCTAACAATGGTCGTTGGCATTGGTTTGCCGGGAGCTCTGAGGGCAGGGCCGAATGAATACAAAAAAGGAAGAGAGAGTCCCAACCTGAACTTGTGGTATGTTGATATTTGCACGCCCATGTCAGCTGATTGGTGTCATGCAAAAGATCTGCAGACCAACCACACAACGCCTGGGAAATAAAGTCAAAAAGCACAGCTTTGATTCTTGTTCAGAGGGTCAGTCGTTGTTGCATCTTTGACCATGGGGACCTTCCAGCTCGCCAGTGTTGCAAACCCCTGAGCAAACACACCCCTGAGCAAGTCGCCGAGGCTGGACTTGATGAAGGAATGGATCCCGGTGAGGGGGTTATGGCAAAACCAGCACGAGACATGAGGTAGACGTCAGAGTCTTGGTGAAAAACGCCAGGCCGGTTACCTGGACTTGTAAGGGACTATATAACCAAAGTATCCAACCTTGTTATATAAGTCGCAAGTGATTGGGTATTTTGCAAAAATGGGGGGTTCGGTTCTGAGGCAAGATGCGCCTGCTTCTGTGGAATGGAGACAAAAACATTTGCTTATTTGTTCTTGGGGTCCAACCTCTCCTCTTTGACACCCCACGGCTTGGAGAAGGGAGTTCAACGCAGGCAAATGGAACCAATGTGTATATATATATAATATGAACCTAATTGCTTGATTTGGGGATTCCAAGTTCTGACACAACACATGTTCCAATGATTTCGGTGATTGCTCCGATGTTCTTCGAGGTCTAACTTTGTGTCACATCTTTTCACTGGGTTGCATGTGTTTCACCCCTGAAAGTTTCACCCCACCCGCCGCCTCGCGCACCGCCACCAACCAAAACGTACATATATATATATATATGCTTGTCCTGTCCCCGCTCTGGCCCTGTTTTCCGCTATTCTCCAG